GGGGGCCGGCGGTGGGAGGTGGCGGCTGCCGTGGGGAAGGGTGGTGGTGGAGTCTAGAACAGGTCTGGGCAGGGCACGGGGCCAGAAGCTGCCTGTGAGCCCGTTTCATTAGGACACAGGGTTCCCAGGGCCGGTGCAGATGCCTGGTAGGGTCATAGCTCAGTATGGTCAAGAAGCCCAGTGGCCATGGGCCTTGAGACCTGAGACACCCATCGGCCACTCCTCTTTGGGGGGAGCACTCCCAGGATCCCTAGCCTGTGCAGGCCTCTAGTCTAGGGACCATGGACTTGAAATAGAGCAACAGTTATATGGTGGCCTGGGCCAGAGCTCATCCGATGACTAGGTTCTTGAGTGGGGGTGTCTGGCTCCTGTGGGAATGCTACTCTGAGGTCTTCATTTCTCTGGGGAGCAACTTGGGTGGCAAAGACAACACCCCGAGCATGTCATACACCTCTTGTCCAGCAGGTGGCGCCACAGACCTCTGTGGGGGGAGTCCCAGTCCGGAAACCACAGGTCTGGATTCACATCAAAGACCCATTCCCTGGCAGAACAGCGCTATTCCTAAGAGCCCTGAGTTGGAAATTGTGCAAAACACCCATCCTCCGTAGAATGAACGGTGTATGTTCACACGGCCATGAGAATGTTGTGGCGTGATCTGCAGTCCTGTGCACGACACGTGAAGTTTTACCAACACGATGAATGAAAGAAGCCAGACACGAAAGCACACAGGCCACCTGCTTTCATTGAGAGTGCAAGCCCGGGCACAGCGAGTCCCTGCCGTGAGAAGTCAGATAGGGCTGGAGGAGGGGCCCGAGGACTTCTGGGAGGCTGGCGCTGTTTCTTCACCTGGGTGTTGGTTACGTGGGTGTGCTGCTTGTGAAATGCAGTCAGCTGTACATGTATGATGTGCATTTCCTGTATGTATATTGTATTTCAGTAAAAATGGGAAACAAACCAAAAAAACTCAAGTATTTTCTCCATTAAAACAACAGCCATGGGGCCAGCAGAGGGCGCAGCAGTTACGTGGCTGGACTCCCATATGGCAGACCGTGGTTTGAGTCCCAGACCCAGTACCTTGAAAATCACGCTGGGCGTGTGTGCTTGCGTGCCAAGATCCTGGGAGGAGAAGAAATTGTGGTATGGCCGTTCCCACTTGGGGGATGATTTCTCACTTTCCCTCTCACTGTCTCTCTGGTGAGCACACATGCTCTAAGGTAAAACCAGAGAGAGCTGCAAAGGGTTGCCTCCTTCTAACTCTGCCAGTTGTGTGTGTGTGTGGGGGGACGGCTCACGTGACCATCTGCTGCCCTTGCGTAACATCACTGGATTCCACTTCCCGTTAAGACAGTGGGAAGGCTGGATGGGGCAGTCTTCTTCCCTACAGAAAAGGCAGCAGGAAGCCGCCCACTGTGCGCACTGCCCAGCCTCCTGGCCTCCTGCTCAGTCCTCGCCTGCCTCCGGGCTTGGAGAGGAGCACCGCTCCCTCGGTCCTCAGACCTTGAGGCTGCACCGCTGCCCTGCCCATCCAACATCCCCTGCCCTTAGAGCAGGGTTCTGGGAAGCTCTCTGGGACCAAGATGGCCACTGGTTCCGTCTTGGGAACCTTTCTCTTCACGATCTTTCTCACTCCCACAGCTATGGACCTGGACAGCATTGCGGCCCCCTCACCACGAGCCTGTTAGCTAAACTCTGATTAGATGCCAGATGGGCTCTGGGGATTCGCGGTGCTTAGACCGTGGCAGCTCCAGGGGAAGATGGAGCCAGTCGTTTTGAGGCCGGGGTGGAGGCAGTGGGTGGCGTTGGCTTCCGGGGACCTGAGACCATTCCAGTGTTTGCCAGACTCACTACATGATTGGGGGCAAGCCGATTGAACTCCTGGAGTCTCAACTGCACTTCTGCGAGGGGAGGAAAACAGCGCTCCCAGGGTGGCCACGAGCATTGAGAAAACACGTCTAATGCCTCTGGGCTGGTGCTTGGAGAGCAGACCTTCCAAGGACACGCGCTCCTCCCTCTCTGCTCTGCAGGCCTCAGTCTCCCTGCAGATCTCCTCAATCCCCTAGCTCGTGAAGCCCCGTCCCCACCCAGGTGTCGGCCAGTTGTGAAGGAAACTTCATATCTTCCTGGTGTGGGAAGGTAGGGCCTTTGGGAAGAGATGAGGAGTCACGGTTGACTCCTGGTCATTTAGAAAGAGAGGCAATGAGACAGAGAGGGACACAAGGTTGGGCACACACCGGCACATCCCTGTCCTCTCATGACGTGATGCCTTCTCTGTGTGGCCTTGGGCCCCACCAACAGGAAAACCCTTCCCAGATGTGGCCCCTGCGCCCCAAAACCATGAGCTGAACCAGCCTCTGTTCTCTAGAAGTCCCAGGTCTGTGTATTTTCTGTTATACCAACCGAACAGACTAGAATACCGCCCCCGCAACTACACACACTCCCGGGGGGGCTCTAAGTGTGAAGTGTAAGACTGTAGAATCATTCATTCCTCCATTCATTCCCTTCTTCATCCATTCATTCTCTTATCCTAATGGTTTTCAACCTTAGCTACATGTTAGAATCACTTGTCAAACTTTAAGGAATCCAAATACTGGGGCTGGCGAGGTGGCATGGTGGTTAAGGTGCTGGACTCCCACGTGGTTGACCCTGGTTTGAGTCCTGGACCCAGTGGCTGGAAATTCACTCCAGGTGCGTGTGTGTGTGCCCAAAATCCTGAGAGGAGAATGGAAGAGAAGGGATTGGGGCGGGGCCATCCCCATGGGGAAGTGATTTCTTGCTTTCTGTCTCTCTGGCGAGCACACATGTCCTAGAGTAAACATCTCTCAAAAAAAAAAAAAATCCCAGTACTTTTTACCCCTCCTTTGCCCCGTGACCTCATATGACCTATAGCAATTAAAAAAAAAGATAAAATTAAATAATTCTTTTTTAAAAATCCCTATATTGGGAGTAGCAGATGGTGTAATGGTTATGTTGTTGGACTCCCACGTGGTCAACTGCAGTTCAAGTCCTGACCCTGATAGCTTAAACTCAAATTGAGCACGCGTGTGTGTGTGTGTGCGCGTGTGTGTGCCCTAAATCCTGAGAACAGTATGAAGAACAAAGGATTGTGGGATCAGCAGTTAGTGAAATGGCTATGTCACTGGACTCCCACGTAGTTGACCACGGTTCGAGGCCCGGACCCGGTGGCTTAAACTCACACCAGGAGCGTGTGCGTGTGTGCCCAAGATCCCGAGAGGAGAATGGAGGAGAAGGGATTGCGGCATGGCCATCCCCCCTGGGGGGTGATTTCTCGCTTTCTATCTCTGTGTCTTTGTCTGTCTGGCGAGCGCACACGCCCTATAGCAAAAAACCTCTCCAAAAAAAAAAGAGAAAACAAAGAACAAAGGATTATGGTGTGTCCTACCCCCTGGGGGGTGATTTCTCACTTTCTGTCTCTCTGTCTCTCCAATAAGCACATGTACCCTATAACAAAAATCTCTCTCTAAAACAAAAACGAACAAACAAAAAACCCCCAAACAATACTTAGGCCTACTAGTTAAACAACCAAATCAATTTCTGGGTTGGAGGTTCATCAGTAGTGTTTTTTTTTCTTCCTTTTTTTTTTTTTTCTTTTTTGCCATAGGGTGCATGCACTCACAGAAGAGAGACAAAGTGAGAAATCACTCCCAAGGAGGGATGGCCATGCCACAGTCCCTTCTCCATTTTCCTCTTGGGGTTATTTGGGCACACATACCCACCGTGACTTTCTTTTCTTTTCTTTCTCTTCTTTCTTTTTTTTCTTTCTTTCTTTCTTTTTTTATTTTTGCTATAGGGCGTGTGTGCTCACTAGAGAGACAGAGAGAGACAGACAGAAAATGAGAAATCACCCCCTCCAGGGGGGATGGCCACGCCACAATCCCTTCTCCTCTCGGAATCTTGGGCACTCACGCACACGCGCCTGGTGTGAGTTTAAGCCACCGGGTCTGGGACTTGAACCACGGTCGACTACATGGAAGTCCAGCGACATAGCCATTACGCTAACTGCTGGTCCCCCCATCGTGATTTTCAAGCCACTGTGTCCAGGACTCGAATGGTGGTTGACCATGGGAATTCAGTGCCTTAACTACCATACCACCTGCTGGCCCCCATTAGTAGTATTTTTTAAAGCCCCCCGGGTATATTCAACATGCAGGCGAGGTTTAGAACCACTGCTTTATTTAGCTCTCTAGTCCAGGGACTTCTGAAACTGGAATCACCTGTAGCAATTTAAAAACCTAATATCCTGGTCCCTCCCTCACCCCCAGTCCCACGCCAACTGAATCCGTCTCTCTGGAAATGAGCCCCAGTTATTATATTTTTTAAAGCTCCCCAGGCAATTCTGACAGATATGCAGGTCTGAGAACTGCTGTTTATAATAATATCCCACAGATGTGTTTCACAGACCTTCGCTGACAGCCTCTTCTGAGACACTAGTGCAGGGAGAATGTGGGGGTGAGGGGGAGGCTGGGAAGCTGCCAAAGACTGGATGTCCCTCAGTCTATGGAGTATGTCCCCTAGCAGGAGCAGCCCTGGCAGAGAGGGACCCCAGAGACAAGGGCGGACACGAGTCTGGCAGCCCATATTCCCACAACCCTCTGAAGCT